GAAATCTCTGGTAAGATGCCACGCAAAGTATGATCCAGAAATCGCACATTCAGTAATGCAATCGAATGATTTCAAAATTTCCACAAAATAATTTCAATATGCCAGATAACGCAGCCACGGAAGTCGGTAATCGCAGTCATTGCCAGTTAGTTTAGGGACAACTTCGGAAGCTAAAAGTCCGAAACACTATCACAGTCCTTAATCGTTTTCATCTTGCAGGTCCGGATTCCATCGTAACCGCACTATTTAAGGATGGTGTTGGGTTTCTCTGCAAAGCACTTACTTTGTTCGAACTTATCTGGGAGGAAGAGGCCATTCCATCTAACTGGAGTGGACCGATTATAGTCGCAATACACACGAACAGCAGCCGCACTGACTGTGCTAACCACAGGAGTATAGTTGAACGCCGATAGTGACAAAAGTACTCACCTCAATTTCCGTTCGTCATCTCACTGCGCGGCGGGCATCCCGGATTAGGGAAGAGCAAGCAGGTTTACGTCCAGGACGTGATTTTATGGATCACACATTCACTCTGCGATAGGTACTAGAGCAGCATTACACGTACCGCAGACCGACAATAGCTGTGTTCCCCGACTTAAAGAGTGCGTTCGACTTAGTCGATCGATTGATTATTTTCAAAATATTTGCTCGCAGAAGGGTTCCCACAGAATGTGTGCACTTTTTAAGTGCCATATACTCGAATACCATAGAGCGCGTTAGGGTCTACAGTGACTTGTCGGATATCTTTCCGACAATAAGTGGCGTTTGTCAGATTTGTCCAATTTCCCCGTTTTTATTCAATTTCGTCGTGGACTCCATCATGAAGTGTTCCCTTGAGGAATCTCACGATGCAGGCTTTGAGGTGCTGCCTGGTGAAAGTCTAGTCGGTCTTGATTACACGGACGATATTGTGTTGTTGTTTAGTGATGTGGCAGCTCAGTCAACCCTACTCACCCTCTCTGGAGTGGTCCCATTGTTTGGCATGCGCGTCACCTACCAAATTTAGTCTTGTTGCAAGACCATCAGTCACTGAATGACCCCATGATAGTGGGGAACTCGAGGTGGTTGATCCATTCACTTAGCAGCTGCATTAGCAGCGATGGGCTCCTCACCACTTAATTCGATTCACTTGTTGTAAACGCTAAGGTTGATTTTTTAATCTGTAGCGTCAGAAAAGGGTTTCTCTCTTTCTGAAAAAAACTTTAAAATGCCACAGTGAGGGCCGTCCTACTCTTTTGGTGTAAGACTTGGGCCCTTCGATCTGAGTTATCTCTAGGTATTAGATACTTGCTGCCTGCAGAGCGTCGCTGTTGTAGGTTGACATGAGTGTGTCCGCAACAATGATATGCGTAGGTGATAATCGGGCTAGTTCCTTAGAACAACAGATGGTACTGAATGAGTAATGTTGGCTTGGTTACGTACTACGTATGCCCGGTCGCCGTTTACCGAGGGTGACCTTGTTTTGTTTGCCGGATGTGAGGCGGCGCAGGGTTCGAGGTGGTCAGAAGTTAAATTGGCAGCGTGAAACCAAGTGAATGACTACAAAATTGTGTGCTGTTGGTCCGTCTTGCCTTCCAGGTTGGAGTCAACATTGTGCTTGGCTCGAGACATTAGATAACACTGCTCGAAGTCGGCACCAATGGCGGGTCTTCTGTCTTCTACTACTCGAATCCCGTCCATATCCTAAAGGACCACAAGCCTGCCTTGTAATCCGATGGCGCGAGTTCGAGCCTGCGTAGGGGACTGGGCGAGTCTTACTGTATATGTAGACCACGCGCAACTGTCGGTGGTTACGCGTCAGCGAAGCGTCGGTACTGCTAGTACCTTTTTAGTCGGACTACCTGTTTGTAATGTGTCTGGTTCTGCCTTGTCTATGGGGTAGTGGCTGATTGCGCTGCGAGACAGTGAGAGCCTCAAAGAAGCTGCCTTGCCGATGCCGTCTTAGCTCTACGCGATAGCATGTTGATAAGGTGTAGACGCCTTGACACTAAATGTTTGCTTGCATCATTGAAGTTTTACATTATGTTTCCGGTCTCATCCTCTTATTTTTCATTCTTTTTTTCACCGTGGTTGTACGGCAGCGAAGCTCAAGGCCAGCTGGCTGGTATTGATGATAACGGCCTTTTTCGGATGATCTATTAGTGTCATCATGGAGCACTTATTCAAAAGTGGACACGGAATCCGATCAGCGGACTCATTCGAAGCCTTCTCAACTGTGCCCAACAGTTATCACAAAATGTTTAGAAAACGCCTCCTGAGGACGGCTGAGGCTATTGCCATCAGAGTGATGCAGCCGGAGTAGTGCATACAAAAGCCATTGTGCAATTGCTTTTCTTGCCATGACCAAGCGTCAACTGGTCAGCGTCTGATAATGGCGACGGTCAAGTGCGATCTTCTCTCCCTCGGCTGCTGTAACGCCTGTCAAGCCAGTCAGTCAAGTCAAGAATTCGCTCTTATGCATCCATGAAGGGTAAATTTTCAGCTGTACCACAGGCGCGATCGAAACGGTAGAAAAAAACTATGATACATGCAAAAACAGTAAAAAAACGGCGGCTAAACCAATGTTTCGCTTGTGGTTTGGTTCTTTAATGATAATATTCGGATCAAGCAGAAATGTAGCTAGCTCAAGTATGATAGATGGACCGTAGGGCGTATATGGCTCTGTAATTCCGTCGCGTTGAGAAACTAGATTTGTAGTTGGATAACACGCTATGTAAAGGTGGCTGATATCAGTAAGTATACTCGAAGTAAGTTTTGCGCATTGTTTTCAGTTGATCGACAGAAATATCGAGCAAATGTGGCAGCGTCGTACAAATGCTCCCGAGCCACTTGGTCTCATTCCGGCCTTCACTGAATTACTACCTTGCGTTGTTTTTTTCATTCTTATAGCTGTATTTGCCCGATGGAACTTATTTAAAAGAGGTCTTTTCGCAACCCTGAGTCCTTTTCAAAACCTTCTTAATCTTACCTGTATATTTTCTCTTTCTCATATTCCTTTAATTCTGTCTGGTTTGGCAACGCATATCAAGCCTACTGGGTCCACCTCATCTCTAAACTGCGTTGTCCGGTTGTAAGTTAAGTGTCTGTTCATATAATCGTTTTTGCCTCTTTATTTTCCTTGTTATTTTGTATTCATCCCAGCAGTTCACAAGCTGCATTGCTCAACCACAATCCGGAAAAGCACCAGACGCATTTCACCCTATTGGGTTCTCGTCAGTGGTGCGCATTCCGTCGGTCCCCTACTGGGGATCGAACCCATGACCGCTAAAGACCGACGCCAACTAGCCAGCAGCTTAAGCCACTGAGCCTTGGGGGACGGCAGCTGGTCTATATAATTTTCAAGGTAACTGGGCTGTAGCACGACCTAACTTCCCCTGTCACGCTGGTTACTACCCTCGCAGATGACTGGCTAGCCTCCAGGTCAAGATTTCCTCACACTAGACGTTATATCCATAGCATTTGAAACTAGAAGAGGCTACATACTATATTACTTTCCCCTTTGTTTTGACCTACACCAAGGGTCTGCAGCATGCTGATCTTTCCTACCGATGCTAAGCCGCCATGCTACCACGAGCAGTCGTTTGCACCCCGGTGTGTTGCGAGGTCGCGCACACCTATGCAGACGGGAACTTGCGACCTGTGGATTAAAAGCCAAATGCCTGTGCCACCGGCCGGGATACTGCTCGGCACACTAACTTGGTGTTTCTTACTCTGACGGTCCGACTGAACACAATTACAAATACAGCGGCGCATCTTGCTACACCTTGCTACCTATCCACAGTGAATGGCATCCGGTTCCGGATTTGCCTATCACTGTGACCTCCATAGGACGCCTGCACTTCACTACCCACAGCTCCACCCACACACCTCATATCCAGTGTAAACCCGAACGAATTTGACCGGCATGCATGTAGATAGGAGCCACGTTTCATCAGCGGAGCCTGCCCACACTCCTTCAAAATGCACAGCAGCAGCATTCCTATCTATCTATCTATGTAGGGAATCATGCGTAGCAGACGTATACAAGGCGGTGGCTGGGCCGTAGTCTGCTCCACACTAGGTGGAACCACTCTTTGAGCATAGCACGACTACGATAATCGCGCACGCCGTCCTCCTCAGCAACGACTCAGTCTCCTGGAGCCGCTAATCGAGGTGGAAGGTGTTAGACAGGTAGGCACCTTGTCAACATTCACATCAAGCGCAACCTCACCGAGGATATCAAACAAGCAACAGAATTTAATGGCAAGCAAACACACAAAAATGACACCGAATATGCAGCAGTATAACAGAATTGAACAAACCAAATATAGTGGGATGATTTATATCCAGATTAAAAAGACCTGGTTTAAGTGTAAGTTGGTTTAGGTCGAATACGTTGAAGAAGCATCATGAGGGCAACATCAACCTTAGCATGAGGCACAGCTACATAGACATATGCCCTCACACATACATATACTCATGCTAAACAGACTCAGGGTTACCACTAAACCTGTAACGCTTTTGTACGCTTACAGACCATCTATGTATTTTGATCATGATCATGTCTATCCAGGCGTGCCTCGCATTGTCGAGAATATGTGATATTGATTAATTAATACTACTACCCGCATCCTCCATCATGATTAGGTCTATTCTTTCTTTGCTCGAACGAGTGTGAATAAATGAACAAAACTGCAAGAGGTCCATTTCCTATCTATACGCGCATCCCACTTGATTAATGGAGCGAACCTCGGCTGTTATCCGTTGTCATTCAAAACGATTAAATTACTCATCCTTTAGGGCCCTATCTTTTGCTGTTTCTTTCGGAAGTAGATGTAGCCTTATTTTGCCCATGACAAATTCTGGATGCATTCGTACTTTATGGCATTCATTACAAAGTGGAGTTAGTTCCAACATGTCTTGCTGCTACACATCGTTAACGACTGCGTAAAGTTATATTTCGCTTGCCTTTTTCGTCACTCCAGTCGCATAAACTTCTTCCCTCATTTCTTTTCTACCAGAATTTGGAGCCTTTGATGATCCACACGAGTCACATAGGAAGTCCTTTGATGTCATACACTCTTGTGTTCCCTGCCGCTTATTATATTAATCCCATTTTGGGCGTACTGACCATGCTCTGTGCATCTTTCTCGGAATGGCTCAGCGGCATTGCCAAGTGGTACGTTTATCTTCCACTGACCTAGGCCCATGAAATTTTTCACTTCACACGAAATTCACCAAATCCTCATCCGTACATGTGCGAAAGGTTTCACAGCATCTGCGATACTCATCTACAGAATTTGTTCCCTTAAGTCGTCGACTTTCCAGTGTACGACTAGACCCGTTCGTATGACTTTAAGGTGCGCGAACGAAATTAACTATGTATTCTGTTGTTGAAATATTTAATCAACAGGACTTTCGTCCATGTGAACCACAGCTAACCACCATTCCAAAAGCAGTGAGCCATTACGGGTTGTTAAAGCGGAACTAATATGGAATGAATCCATGAATGCAGGATTTAGCAGCCTATCTGCTATTAACTATCCTTTCTGGTATTGTCTGATAGCGTCTCCAAATAAAGGCGTTTGTCGCGCAGGGGTTTTCAACTTTGAGTTCTAGCTCACCCAACTCCCACTTGCATTACTCTTTCATATTTCTATCCCGATTTGTGTCAAGTCAAGAATGTGCTTTATGCACCCATGAAGGATGAATATTCAGCTCTGTTACACATGTCACGGACATCGATAACTACTGAAGCCAACTAGTACGTGAGGATATGTAAAACCACAATTGTTAAAAAAACACTTGACGGAGTAGATATCAATTGAGTAATTTACTAATCAGTTCTTGAATGACTGAAGTTCTATCGTTCAAAAAACGTGACAGCCAAGGAACTATTTATGTACCATAGGCTCTTGTGCGATCGTATATAAATGTTTAGCTTTGTCTGGTCGGAGAGGTTGATATACGCATTCGGACAACACTCCTATGGAGTGGGTGGCTAACATCTGTGAGTATTTTGGATGCCAGCATGTTGCAGGAGTTGACATGGCTGGCTACAATAATCTTAACAAGTTCCAGCTTTGAAATGCCACTACACCGTGATAGATGCTCCACTGATCTGGCAGTTACTTTCAAATCCTTACTCAGAAGACCAGGGAAGCACAACAGGTCAAGCAGAGTAACACACATGCAGTGATGGAACGCTAGACCGGAAAACAGGATACGGAAGAAGACCTGAGACGTGTGGCATAGAATGTTTCGTTCACGTGAAGGGACATAACCCCACTCCCAGGTATTTTAATGAAGGAGAAGAGGTCAACCATTCACGGTCAATGTAATGTTGCTGACACTGCGTTAGGATTTTCTGGTTGCGATTTCCTTTGAACAGCATAAAAAGGACATCCTTGCATTTTGAGTAGTTTAACGGGAGGTTGTCCACAAGTGTTTGTAGTTTGGACGCCAAGGATTGCGTGGTCTGCATAGTTCGGTAAAATGGCTTCTTCGCGGAGGGGAATTGAGGTAACGTAACTGGAAAATAAAAAAGAACGAAATGGCTCCCTGAAGAAGACCGGAGTTCGTGGTGAGTGATGTAGAATTTTTCCCATTAACTTGGTAAACTGGGTACACTTGGTAAAATAGTCTTTCGACAGAAGAACAACGGAAGTTTGCCCTCTAGAACCTAATAAATTGCGCAATTGTAGTTCACGGTTCACAACCGAAAGCCTTGCTAAAGTCCAATAACTAGATGCGGATGGGTTTGCTTTTCTCATCCCTTGACGCGAGCAGTGTATACCAGATGTGTAACTGCATCTAGGGTGGACCTTGAGCTACGATATGCAGACTGACAAGAGTCATCCAAATGAATCTGGGCTGGGATCTTTTTAAGAATAAAACTCGAATGTCTTCCTAGCAACCGACATACAAGCGATCGGTGGATACTTGAAGGTGTTTTTCTTGGGCACTGGCATGATGCTTGTGCCTCACAAACTGTTAGCTATCCTATGTCGCTTGAAGCACGGTGGGTACTATTCGGTAAGAGGCTGTGCCAGTTAATCTGTCCACTCCTTCGGAATGACAGGAGACAACTACGGATCACATGCTTTGTTCATCTACAACCCGATTAATTCTCTGCGTACTTCTGGACTGTTCACAGGAGAGTTATCTGCGGTTAGATGCAACTCTGCAGAGGATATATCAAAGAATGACATATTATCCTTATCACCGAAATTGAGTTTTAGGCATTTCGGAGTCGAATGCGTAACCTCGCAGTTGGCTACGTTTAACTTTTTCAGCATTTGCCATATTTCATGATATTTATTGTTTCTAAGTATGACTTTAACGTAGATATGGTCGAGACGGCTTTACTGATGTAAAATCTGCCTCTAAACACCTTTTCTTTAAGTCTAAGCAGTCGTTTGAGACCTAGCGGCGAGCATCTATCGGCATGGATATAAGTTGTTTCGATTGAACGACAGATTTCGAAGCAGAAGTAACTATTTAACTGTTCACATTACCTCGATGCGTCCGCATCGTAAACTAAACTAAAATCTGTTGTGGAACTGGTTTTGCGGTATCGCTAGATGTTCTGGGAAGACACTATCTCCACCTGAACTTTCGAGCTTTACAATGGGTGAGATCTCTTTATGCTTCATCTTGCAATAGCTAACCGAAATTAACTTTACCATGGCATGATCAGAGTCCCATGCGACACCCGATTACAAACAAAAATACTTTCAGGTTCTTATCATATCCAGGTAATATGTTGCATCTAACATTGTTGGAGATTGTACTATGTTCTGTTGTGTTTTCGCTGACAGTACGGATAACCGATGAAGCCACTCGGGTCACGGTAGAGTCACTTCCCAAATCAAAAGACGGAGACTGGTGGAAATTGTATGGGGCACCCGGAAGTCAGTATGTACAGCCAAAATATGGGATCAAACTAACTAGTTCATGAGAGAACGATCTAGTTAAAACTTCCCGACTATAGTAACGGCTAGATGCGCAGAAATCACTTGTTGGCTGTTCAAGTAGTACGCTTACTGGAGGGTTTCAAGGCAGTTCGTTGTCATTGGTCCACTTCAAGGCGAAACGACGCCATTGGTTTACCCTCATTGGCTAGCCACTCAGCTTCAGGCGGCGTGCGACCAGTCTTCTCTCGGTCGCTTCAGAGAGAGTTGGCAACGGGGCTGCTACGGACGGGCTCACATAACACTCCCCCGCGAGAAGTGACGTACTACTTCTTCCTCCGATCCATCTGCATTCTGACCACGGATCTTCGTATACGATCAGTCCGTCATCGTGGCTGTGGTTACCGCGCAAGGCTCATTTGGTCGATCCTGAGTTCCAGGGTGTATGTCGAAATTGTTCACCAGATTATCCAGTGACAGCGATCGTTCACTGGTACTTTTCTGAATGCTGGTGGGCCGCAGCTAGTTTGCTTGTGTAATTCAAGTCATGGCACCCACTCCAGCTTTATCTAGCACTTGTCCAAGTCCGCAATCGACCGAGCCTGTGGTCTTTCAGGGCGATAGTCTCTGACTAAAACACTATCCTGTGCCGCTGATTGAAGTAATTTTCCATTCTTGCGTTCCACTCTTGCAGGGCGATACGCTTCGGAAGGAGCTAGGAATTCAGATTACGGACTTCTCTACCCATCAGCGCTTCTGTTGGGGGCAGCTAACTTTTTCACCTGGGGGTTCGGAGTTGATCTTTACAGTAGAAGAAATGCATCCAATATCCCTTGGATAGTTTCTTTCCCTCTCATCTTCACCAGCGTCCGTTTAAACGTATCAACAAAGCTCTCCGCCTGCCCATTGGACTGTGGGTGGAACGGCGGCGAGCGTAGGTGGGTGATGCCGTTCTGCGTACAGTACTCGGCAAATTGCGAAGATGCGAACTGAACGCCATTGTCAGTAACTAGGTTCTCTGGTATTCCATGCTGGGCGAAAAATCTCCTTGTGCCAATTGTGCGTTCAATGCAGTACACTTCCGGCCACTTACTGAAGGAATCAACAACGATGAGATACTGTTATCCATCCACGGAACCAAAGCAATCTGCGTGTACTTGCTCCCACGGTTTCGTTGACAACGGCCAAAAAGACAGTTCCGCTTTCCTGAGCGCCTTGCTGACAAGCGCACATTTCGGGCCCGATTTTGCCAGCTGTTCCTACTCCAAGTCGATATTCTGCCAGTTAACACAACTCCGCGCAATCATTTTCATTATGTTAAGGCCAGGGTGTCCACGATGAAACTGCCGCAGAATCCTCTGGCGAAGCTCCCTTGGAATAACAACTTTTTCCACCAAAAGTAAACTACCATTGACGATGGATACTTCGTCTTTCCTCTGGAACAAACTTTGGAATTCCCCATCTAGGTTGTCCTTCGGCCACTGTGTAGTATGCATTCTGACCGCTTGTTGTAGAACAGGATCCCGCATTGATGCATCAGGTACCATCTCAAAGTTACCGGAAGCCCTCTGGGCGTTTCCAACAATGCCTGATTCACTTCCGACTCCGTAAGGCTCGTTGCAATGATAGATTCTTCTTGCTGGCACTGCTGGCTTTCCAATGGCCGTGAAAGTGCATCACCTTGACCAATGTCCTTTGTAGAACTGTGCCTCACCCTAAAGTCTTAGCCGAGTAATTTAGTAGCCCACCGCTGCAACCTCTTTGCCGTTTAGACAGGGATGCCCGACTTTGCCCCGAAAATTGCGGAAAGCGGCTTATGGTTAGTAAGAAGTGTAACCTTCCTTCCATACAGCATCTTGTGAAATTTTTGTTTACAGTGAAGACTATCGCCGAGGCTTCTTTCTCTATCTGGCCATAACTTCGCTCTGCTGGAGATAGCGATCTGACTGCATGTGCATTTGTCATCTGCGAAGTTGTGGGCTTGACTGCACCAATGCCATAGTCCAAGGCGTCTGCGGCCACCACAATCTCCAAAGTAGGGTCGTAATGTGTCAAATGGGCTCTGGCATTCTTCGGACCAGTTCCAGCGTTTGTCCTTCGTCAGCTGGTCATTGAATGGACCACGCAAGCGGTGCATGTGCATGTGTAATAAATTGTGAGTCCTAGGAAGGATCTTAGTGTTGCAAAATCTTTTAGAGGTGACATCTTGGTTGTCTCGATATTCGCTGGGTCTGGGCGCCTGTCGTTCCTGTCTAGTGTAAAGCCGAGAAACGTAATCGAGTCCATAAATAAGGTACACGTCCTAGGTCGGAGTCTGAATCCATATTCCTCAACACGGCCAAGAACTCGATCCAACTTTCCAATAACTCATCGACATTGCCTCTGACAACAATGATGTCGTCCAGATATGCGGCTGCTCCATTGATATCTCAGCAATGTGTCATTTATCTGCTGGAATATGACTGGTGAAGACTTGACTCCAAACGGGAAACGGTGCTACTGGTACAAGCCTCGAGCCAACCGACTTCCGGGAGTTCTTCGGCAAGAAACGATCACGTACTCGCGCTGACCAGCTGGGTCAATCGTTCGTAGCATGTGAGGGTTCGCATCGTCTCATAGTTCTCATTCCGATATTACGCACAGCAAACGAAGTTGAAATTAATGGCTGCATAATCCCTGCATCCGAACAAACAGCTTACAACCAATACAACAATCATATGCTTCTCATCAGTAAGCACAAGATCCAGCACAGGTAGTTTGCTACCTGTTTTGAACCGAGTGGGCAAGGTGACGTGGTTGTAAAGCGAAGCAGGGGTTACGAGCTCTGCAAATCAGCTTTGAGTTGTTCTTCAATTTTGACAGGGATTTCTAAACAATGGGCGTTGACATCACCCATGAAAAGGATGTGAGTGTATCTTCCCTTTGGAGTGACTCAGAGCAGTCGCAAGATGGCAGTCCGTTTCGGGTGTAGAGTTTTTGGGTGGGGGAAAGAGCGGTACACCCAGGCTTTAAGGCAAGTGTCTCTAACTATAGGCGGCACCAATTGGTGCAATTTATATTGTCTTAGCACCGAAACGCGATGGATCTTACTTACATAGTCGTAAGTTCTGTGCTCTCAACCGTCCAGTTCTTGTCTGAATCTTAAATCAATCCGTTACTTTTTGCAATTCAGGCTTAAATGCACCACGGACACTCACGATTAATTTATTATAGGGGTGTCCAAACTTTGCGCAAGGTGGGCCACATTTTAGGAGGTAACAATGTGTCGGGCCATATTCAATCTGACATTAAGGCAACAACTAAAGTTACATGTAACATAAATTTTTATTGCATTTTTAATGTGAAGGGTGAAACCGCGAACTTGAGATCTCCATCTTTTGATTTAGTTAAGACCGCTTCAGTAGAGGCACCAAATTGACTTTTCCTAGTTACTTAAAATAAACAGTACCTCATTGATTTTTGCCAGCTTCTAACGCCATTGAATTTTGTACTCACAACATCCTTAACTTCTTATAATCTGTATACCATCCTCTGTGCGAAACTTAGATTTATTATTTCATAATGAGACCGCGAACCAATTGAAATGCTACTGCGGGCGCATTTGGCCCGTAGGCCGGACTTTGAGCATCCCTGACTTATTGTATATCGTTCAGATGAAGTAATCGTACTATATGCTTTCATTCGATAGTTTTTGTTTATTAATGACCAAGAGAACTTTTTGATGGAATTTTTATTGCTTCGTCCCAGCAGCTCACAAGCCTGCTGGTTCAACCTCCAATCCGGAAGAGCACCAGGCGATCGTCTCGCGATATTAGGACCGACTTCTTCTTTCATACGTCCCTTAGTATACGCATCACCAAATCCCAGTCTCCATTCCGATTACTACATTTCTCTTGTGGCGCACTTTCTTATATCCTACGTTCATATGTATTTACGTTCTGCGATTTATTTCACACTAAACTCGTTCCACTCTTTTTGACCATACCCTTACTCTGTATTTCATTGGACCATTTGTGCTAACACGGTGAAGGCATTCGTCACCAGCAATTCTCTTACTGACGTCACTGTCTGAACACATATTTGAACGAGTGCTGTGATGCTACTTCTGTACTGCACATGTAACCTTTGCTCTCATAAGCCGCGATGCATCCGATGACTTATCACCAGGTTTCTCAGCCACACACACACTGCCTACCATTGCGATTGTAGCCTACACGTAAGCTCTACATGCACCCCTGCCATTGGACGTTAGCTTGTCCACTTACCTTTTGCTATACCTCCGCTTTCTTTACATCGATTAGATAATTGTTGGGTTCACCTAAACGCCAATTTTATTCCCACGACTGTTCGCCTCCAATATTTTTTTGCTGTTAAATGTTTCTCTTCATTATATTCTCTCGCTCATCAAGTTCACAGAAGAGACCCATTGATACTCCTTCTTTTTCATCTTTAACAGCTTCGCCTTTTATACAGTACTTATTGCCCTACTTTGTTCCCACAACATTGTCACCGGAACCTGGTGGATGAATCTTCCGTATTGTTCATGCATCTCACAGCATAGAACAAATTAACGATTGTTTATTTTATAATCATAATCAAAGTTAATGCCAGACTTTTTTAATTACCAAGCAATAGTACATGCGTTGTTGCCTTTGCAAGTGGCCAGACCTTGATGCATATCTTTTTCTTTGTTGGACGGACCAGCTTAGATACCTGAAGCGATTGATAAGTTAATCGACTCCCTTCATTGACATGACTCCTGTTGCGAATTGGCGGAGATTTAATGTGCTTGTAAACTAATTTCAAATCAGGCTATCCGCGATTGTTTTAGCTTTGCACCATGATGTTCGCCTCCACTTGATACTGGTCATCGGGTTTATTTGGTCAGGGTCCTGCACGGACATCGACCATACTGGTGGGTAGATCTGCACGCCATGACCTCCCATACCTCTGTCACTCCAATCAAACAGTTCTCCATCACATGTGAAACTGGTCCTGGGAGTCCTTCGGGCCATTGCATGATCACGCTGGCCAGCCTCGTACCTCTTGTGCTCTACTTGCGGCAGTCTCTACCAAGGTAAGATATTTTCGTTATTCTTAACTGAGTGCATTTTCCAACTGTCGTAGTGGTTGATTAGCGTCATACGGGCTTCTTATAAGCGTATGGGGTTGGCTAATGCTGGAAGGACTGTTTCAAATAATCTACCTACCTCAGCAGATCGGCGTGAGTATTGTCTTGAGCGGCGTCCCCACTGTTGTTTTAGTGGCAAAACGGACGGCCTTGATGAGCTGATTTACTTCTGGATGGTGTTATTGCACCACTCCTTTAATTCCTCCCGACCCACACTATCTAAATATCTGCAAATACCCTTGTAGCAATTTTACATGTCCTGTTAGCAAATTGCATTTTCATTATGTGGCTTCTCTTCACTATTTATTACGGCACGCCGTAGATTCCGCTATCCTCTCTTTCTCCAGCCCATGGCAAATTGCTTGGTTTCTCCTCTTTTATCATGCGGACATTCTGCTACTTCGAACCCTAGGTTCCATTCTACCGCTTAGCTTCAAGAGCGTGTACGCCCCTTTCATCTCATCGAAAGTAACTTTTCCACATCCGTTTTTGGAGATACTATATTGAATTTGTCTATGATAGTTTACATCCTGCTGTCCTTATTTTTATCATTGTTTTCTGATTCGAATATTCGAAAGCTATCTGCTGTTTCCTAACATGCTCCCTCGTACCCCAGTGTCTTTCGACTGAGACGCACCCGGTAAGTGTATTTTTCTATCCCTTGTGCGCCGCTATGTGCTGTCCTCTTTTTCGCCTCATAAAGCTTATTCGGTATGTGTGCTCTTTAAGTTGTTCTTGTTCTGGCTTACTTAAGCTGCACTTTTTCGGCTGCTTTTGTTGTTGCACCTGTATCTTGCTTGTTCGTTGTGAGGCTTAAATTCTATGATACTTGCGCCATTCGATCAATACTCACTTCTAAAACCGCCCTCATATATTTACATGTTTGGTGACTAGGTTACTACTGTATTTGTTCTACCTCCTCGCTCCATCTGGGTTAACCTCGATACAACATGTCCCGCTTTGATTGTGTTGCTGTCTTGCTTTGTCGCACTTTATTACATATCCAGGTTTTGTTCGATCAACTGCAATTTACTCCTCGATTTGTCATTTTTCGTTAACCCACTGCACATCATCTGTATAGCTTTCGCTTTTGGCATACGGATTACTCGATTCACGACTTATCCCACTCGGTGTGAGCTAGCCACTGCACTCTGGCTGCCAGAATTGGGCGTGTCTTGTTCGGCAAACACCAAGTAGCTATCACACGCACCAACATAGAGTAGATTGCTCGGCATTTTAGAATACCCACGCGTGCTGGAACTGACTGTATTATCCCATCATCAGTGGTATGCATAAAATACTTAATATGACATTTGCACAATTTGAAACCAGCGCTCCACACTAACATTGATCACGCCCTCCGTGTATATAGCGGTCCGTTGTGTCGTTAACCATTGTCCGAATTGGTCACACGCTTATGCGCTTATTCTTCCACATCTTCAAGTGCCAGTCACCTGGTTCTCGCTGGCACTTTTATTGTCTCAGCATGCGCATCGCTCAAGCTCGGTACTAAAGAAGTTGTGTCTCGCATGAGCACTGGGAAATGGATCAACTTGCTTGTCTTACTGAAGTTTTTTCTTCTCGTTAGCTTCCTGTAGTCTGTCTAGCGCGTTTCGAGTGTTTCAGCCTCCTATTCCCTATTCATTCTGGGGCTTCGTATATAAAACTGTTTAAAAAACCTCTCCCACTCTATCGGGCTAACAAATATCAGACATTGCTTTTATTGCTCGTTATTTGTGGTCGTAATACAAATCACGAGTTGTTGGTTTTTCCCCCATGCCTGCCTACATTTGTAGTGTTTCATCAGTAAGCAGCCAACTGCCTATTTCATACTGTGGGAGACTGTGAATTTAACTGCGATAGCCTCATATTATCCCAGTTATCTTTATATGGCTCCGTTTGCAAGCCTTTGTCTGAAACATCGTTCTAATGTGGCGTGCATAGCCTCGCGGCACTCATGTTCCTAGTCTACACACCAGCCACAGTAACACTTGAATTGTTTTTACACATACCGTTTCTCGCCGCTGCAGTCGGCTATAGCTAACTGAATGAACATTCACTTTTGTTTTTTATAGTTTATGTCCTCGTGTTATCAGGCCAAGCTTATGCACTCGAAATTGTTTAATGTAGTTACAACTTGTACGCTTTTCAACAGCGATAGCAAGAAATAGCTGTTACAGGTGAGAACTAGTAAGAGGAGCGGATTACTAGCTTGTAGTCTAACAAGAAACGCCCCAGATGAAGGATAACCGAAAGTCAACGAAAAATCAAAGACGACCTCAGTTTTTGAAGAAAGTACCCACCCAGGTTGGAGGATAAAGGTGATTCAGCTGCTCTGAGCCATAATAGCTATTATCCCCTGCCTTTATATTTGTTGTTGTGGCTATCACTAGGCAAGTATTGATTCACTTAACTTGACAGGATTCGCCGCTAGATATCAGCTTACTTAATTCGTCGGCTAGGTTTCTAAGAATGCTCGTGCAAAGCTTGCAAATAAATTCGCGATCAATTCGACGGTGCGTGCTTCAAATTTAGAAAGAGGAAGATTTAGACATCTGAATCGGACAAATGACTGAGAATATTTTTGTGATCTCAGTAGCGAATAAAAATTACTTTGGTTGTTTATTGCTTGCTCATCATAAAACATGTTATTTTACCGAGTAACTTGTTCAGCACGTAGCGGAACTTGGCTCTTTCACCTAGGATTGTCTTCCGAGGATACAAAAGCCCAACATTCATCTACGGCCTGTTGTATACGGTAGTAATCCACTGACACCCGAATTAGCAGTATAGCTGACAAACCTCTTGCAATTTCTGATAGCAGGACTGACCACATTCGTACAGTCTGATCTCACAATACAATGCCGTTCTAACATCACTGCTTTTCTTAGTTTATCTCATGTTTCGACGTTAACTCGCTGTTCGCCAACGTGATCAAAGATGACGCGTTGATGATAGCAATATGCTAACCAAATGCAAGTAGGTACTCGTAAGAAGGGGTGATATTTTCTGCCTGTCGTGTGAGGAGCGTTGCTGTGTACTGTCTTATTTTGTTATCCCATCCTCTAACCTCACTATGATATCGCCATTATCCTTGTATTGGTAGATCTGTACATGGTTCCTTGTATTTAGCTGTTAAGTTTCCAACCTGCTTAAGTCTACTCACGTTTTTAAACTCTCCTCTTGCTCTACCCCGTGTTTGACAAAATAAGCAACAGAAAAGGTTAACGAAATTTAAATAAAAATGCATATATTGTTTATAGCCTACATTAATTTTGTATAGGTACTAAGTGAGGAAGCGCTAACTTTTTGCGTAGGACAGGGAAAGGATAGTGACGCAAATTCAGGCTGTTAATTTGGCGTTTCAGCTTTGAATAGAGTGGTTAAATTCAGAACAGAAAAGGAAAGTGGGGCAGTAGAAAAACATGAAATGCATAAGGAAAGCGGGTGGAATTTGCGAACTTAGCAGAAAATTGCTGAGATAGATTGTGACGACAATAGCGGCGACAAATGGAAGACTCGGATTGGGTCGTCACAGTTGCGACGACGCGTGGCTCGTTGGCTGTCATGCTTCCTCTGAATAAGCAATGCTAGTGTAATGCAGCACTCAAAAGCACTTTGTAAGTTACAATCAAGCAGGTTAATAGTTCCTCTCATATACCAGTCATTGGTGCAGTTTTCTCTTTCCCTTTCAACTTGTCATTGGATATTGTAGTTGCACAGCTTGCTATACGAAACGCTTTTTCTTACCGTTTTGCTTACCATTTATGAAACGCATCACTGTGCTCGTTCATAACTCTTATGCGCACTGCACTCCTTTATTTCCCGCTTAGGACCTAATGAGAATACTCCTGCTGGTACTGGAGAGATCGGTACAGTGTAGGTTTCGGCACAGTTCGACAGTTTACGATACTTTCTCGTTACCACCCTATAGTACATTATGAGTTCAACGAATAACATACGTATATTAATATTAGCACGTATATTTCTCATGGTTCAGGAGACTATCTGTATGTACGAAAGTAACCATACTCTTGCATGGGAGATATATATTTGTGCAATTTTGTGGTATGATATTCATGCAATAGAGATTTATTGGATAGTTGAGGCAGATGCCAAGTTTGGAGACGTGGGTATGTAGACATTTTTGAACTCCTCTTGGAATAGTTCGTCGAGGAGTTTTTCCAATATAAATATAATCATCGTATCCAGGTCAAAGTAACTTCTTTGTTTGTTGCTAAATATTGTCATATAACGAGTGTGGTTGGTAATTTATTACAGATAGGTGTATCTGTCCAGAAAGAAATTGGAGTGCATGCTTTTCTTAGCCTTTGAAATAGCTACTGATTTTGTTGCGAAGTTCTCGAGTTGTCCTCTGTTGCAGCTTGAATGTATGCAGATCAGAGTAGATCTTGTGTAGCAGGTTGTAAGGCAGCAACACGTTATGCCATAATCGTCGCATCCAAAGTCGTCCGAGTTGTGGTTTGTTGCAACGCTCTCAATGATTCAGGGTACACTGCTTACCAATCAGATATTTAGTAAAAGGCCTTTGCGTCGGCCCGTAGCCTTAAGGATCACAAGCATGTCTTGTAATCTGAGAGCGCAGGTTCTATTTTACGTAGGGACCGGGCGACCTTCGCAGTATCCTTACCCCACGTGGGACTCGCGATAGTTGCGCGACAGCGAAGCGTCGGTACTGCATACTGGCATACTGCTGATGCCTTTTTCTAACGACCTCTGCAGGTGTTCTAGAGCAATTCCGCCACTCCTCATGTCGTCGTAGAGTATGTTATGGTACTCGAGGATGGAGCGGGTGAGTAGCTTTAAAAACTCAAGTCTAGTATGGATTGTGTGGGTTTTGTTGGATATATCAGCCACATGTTGTCTGTCACGTGCTATTGGGTATTGGGCATGTTTAGGGGAGTTGAATTTCGCTAAGTACCTAATTCCGAGATCGCTCGTTGACAGCGTTATAGGCTCATGTTCATTGTTGAGTACAATATATTCTTCCTTGATAGGACAGCGGTGATATATGACGCTTGCTTTTTTAGCTGAGTGTCACTACGCCTCATGGGAATGCGTTATCTTGAATGAATGACGGCGTTCTGTGAAGTTCGTCACGTCGAAGCCTATAGACGATCTTGATATCGCCGACGAATGTAACTAGCCGACCATGTTTTACGGAAGTAGTGGTGTCATTTATGTAGAACAGGAACAATGAGGCAACGTGCATGCTCCCTTGTGTTACCAACTAGTGATAGATCGTGGAGAACGATAGTCACCTGAAGTGACTACCTAGTAGCGACCACTCATATATGACGATAACCAACCCAGTACTGTGTCTCGGATCCCAAAGCCTCTAAAATTTTTAACAACTGCTTGTGAGGTCCCCGTCAAATGTTCGGTGTATATCCAAAAGCGGAATCACTAGTGTATAACCGAAATTGTTAGATTCCTAAATGCAGTTCAACTAATTCAATTGTCAGGTGATGCACAATCGCTTGTCCGGAACACCATGCTATGATTTATTCATCAGGCCAAAATAATTTGTAAACTTCATCACACCCTTTTTGATCAATTTATTAACGGAACCGGGCGATTATTGGAGTGTGGTGGATTGGTCAGTAGCTTTCAGGTTTTTGTTTGGGACCTCCCTTGTGCCGAAGTATGTTAAACGACGTTTTCCATTGATCTGGAAAGGGGTCATATTCTAGTGATAGGGTTAACATATTTCTCAGCAGTAGTGGTATCTCAGGCCCTCATACTTTAATGATGGGACGCCATCATAGATCGCCGTATTACTTCACTTGAACATTTGGATTTATCCGCATGTACTATTATTATCATCTCCACAATCTTTCCGAAAGACTCGACCGAACAGGTATCCCCCAAAAACATTTTGGGAACTGTGGTATGAGCATTCTGATGGCAGCTGTTGGTATTCGCCTACGCATTCGTGACGAACAGGCAAGAGGCCACTCGATCGATTGTCCGTCGCCAGTCGAGCAGCAACCCCTACACGCTTGAGTGAGAATCGCTTTGTAAGCCTGCACGACCAATTGGCTCGATTGATGAATATGCTAAGTTTCCGCCAAAGACAGCCAATCAAAGAGGAGCAGATCGGAATCACCCAACGGAGCGCAGGTTACCCTATAACTAATAATTTGCCTTCTGATCCAAATAGATTATGATCGTAGTCCAGTCTCTGATTTTGACTCTCAGCGGGCGTCATACGACAAGTACTGCCCTGGAAAACTTGCACATCATGTTCCATGCGGTTCCTCTGTACATAATGGTACAGTCGAGGGATATATCTCTTATTATCTATTATCTGGCTGCAGCAAAAAATGTGTTTTGTTAATTGGGCTTTCTTAATGCACTCGCCTATATTTTTTCTACTCCGGACTATCGGTATGTCATGATTAGAGCTCCTTGGTAACATCAAGTGTAATGGTATTTTTAGCGTTCATATCAACTAGCTTCCTTTCCCCTCATCTAACGGTATTACTCACCAATTTACGAGAGAATGGTTGGACATTCTGATCCCACCGTTCAACTCAGCTGAGCACTATTAGTTACTCCGGAATTGTGAATAGTCCGTAAACTGGTGGGTTTAAATGTTATTCTCTCCCAACGCAACGGTACGAGAAAGCAACACCGAAATCCTCCACTTGGGATACGACCCCCGTGATCGGAATGGCAAAGACTGACTTCAGAGTCAAGTGAGGCCACAATTGAGAGTGCATGTTGCAATCCGAGACACACGGCATGTGCTCCCGAACCCAACAGTCGGGTCCTGAAGTGCTCTTCGGTTGTGATTCTGGCTGTGACGAATCTTCGTTCTCTTCCACATATCACTTATTATTTGGATCATGGGGTTTGAGTATTTGGTTGCCTATAAATGTTTTGCTTCCATCTACCTAGAATATCACAACTTTTTGTTTCACGATCTTGACCGATTACACATAACAGACATATACCTGCCGCTTAACCGCAGTTTCTTGGACAATATGCAGGTGATTGCGTGGATACAGTTTTAGCTCTGCCAAGTCACCATACCCTGGAGCACAAGTTACCTTGGCTCTCTGTTCAATATTCTTTTGTCGCCCCGTATGGATTTTATACTTCTTTGTTCCCTATGCGGTGGTATATTCTGTGTTCTTTTTTCATTCGTCACTTGCACCGCAGTGCTTTGTTTGAACCACCAATTCAGTCTCATGAGAATGCCTATCGATTTTCCACAGCTTTTACGGAGACCTGGTACTTTGCACTTTTGGCTGCTTCGCTATCATTCTCGGTCTCAGTCGGTGTTACGTGGCTGCGCATTTTCCTCACCAGGTGTTAGCTGGAATCCTTTCAGGTAAATATTAGGCGTAATATTAGGTTTAAAGCTTTTGCTATCCATTACGGTTCCTTAGTGCATTGTTGCAATTCTCTTGTTGGTCTTCACAGCTTTCACGTCAATGCGTTTTTGTACTTTTATCAAGTTTTTATTCTCAACAGCAGTTTGTTGGATAAAACATACTGCCAATATAAGTAACTTTTTCATGCTCATCTTCTTGGTTTTACAAGTCTCCCCATATTTTCTTTCTTTGTCCATTTTGGCTAACTGAGCACGGGGTTTTAACAAGTTGGCCCACTGAAAATTTCGGTTTAGATGTGCAATCCTCCTTCTTGGCTTATACTTCTTTGCGGAAAGTACACATCGTTCACCATCGGAGTGCAGACCATCGTCATTTTATTCCTAATAATCAGTTTATACTAGTGAACGAAAATGGTCACTTGACCCGGACTTACGGTGCTAAGCTACTTAGCTATATACTACCCAGCCGTTGGTACTACCTTGCCCATCGTCCCGCCACTGCTGGCACATTGACGAAACCAGTGGAAGACACTAACGTACGGCCTAGCTTGCACTGGACTGATTTGTTCGCTTTTTCTCCGTTTGTTTCTCTTTCCATAGCCAATTTCATATTACGTCCCTTGTAGGCTAGAGGCTATTGCGTTGGACCAATGGTACACAACAACCCGTCGTCATCATTTAACGTCACTTGACAGCACTTGATCGATCTAGCACTTCTCACTAGCCTGCGGATTTGCGTATTAGGTGGTAGCACTGGCAGTTCGATACGTCAGCTTTTATCTCCTCGAATGTGTGTGCGTACTTGTTTGATTACCTCGTTATCGGTGCTGTAAGCTTTCTGGGAGAATACCCACTAATGTGCTTTGTACTGTATTTGTTCAATTGATGTTTAATTGTCCAATTGCTGAAGCATGCTAGAGAGCCCTGGCTTTTCTTTTAGCATAAGTTCATTTGCGAGACTTCTTAGCCCCAGTTGTGTCGTTACATCATCTGTCTGTGTGGTTTTGACCTCTTTTCCAAGGAGTTATGTTGGGCTACGCATTCGCGGAATTCTTTCAAATTCTCCGAATAGCCAACACCACGACAAGGCTTTCTCTGGTACCTAAACCAACCGGATGGCTTGTTCGGTGGGTCCGGAACCCCATTTCATTTCTCTGGCTTGGCTTTGGTTCCTTCGCTCTTGCTTCGGCTTTCGCATGGTTCCTGAGGACAGTAATGAAAGTAGATGTTAACTGGTCCATAGTATTGGCAAAGCGATCTTGTCATCGTCCTGAATGGGTTCACCTCTCGAGCAGTTTGATGGTTGGCTTCGCTCGAATTGCAGGCTATCTCTCAGGTGAGTCTTGAGGGCCGACGAAAGTAGCTGTTTGTTTATCACTTTAGACTGCTTGTTTTCTATAGCTGATATTCATGCTCAGGTTCGTTCATTCAACATTTCTTCGATAATGTATTCTTTTAAATTTATACGCATTTTCGGTATTTGTTTGACACACAATCGAGTTTTCCATTCCAGGCCTAGCTTTGGCGCTGCTTTTGAATCCTCCGTCTGATAGCCTATTGGCTACGTCTGCAATTCGCTGGTGCGTGGTCTTCATGGCCGGCGTCGCAGTACTGAGCACCAAGCTCTTCGAACGTGCTTGCCAACGTGCATTTTTTTCTTTGCTTTTCCCGTTATTTCCATCCTCCAACACCGCAACTCCTGGAACTGTGTTGCTTATCACGTCCGTGGCGCAAGGCAGCGTGGGACCTGTTCTTTCCGTGTGGATACTTCCGAAACTGTTCTCTTTGTTTGGCATTTAAACATATCTCGACCCAGTTAGCATCCTTGAGTCGGATGCGCGTTGCCACTCGTTATGTTATCGGTTTCACTGTAATTTACTTCTTTGTAATGCTGCTGGTTGTCATTTTCTGTCGCACAAGGTGTTCTATCATCCCTCAAAGAGGTCGAATACCCATCAATTTTATGAATTGGTAGAAGTCTTTCCAAATGTAGTATTCCGTGTTCCCAACTCATCAGAATAACATTCACCTGTATTTTAACCTTCATCGCTTTATTTCACCCTTATTACACCTAGTTAACGAGGGAGACCGGAAAGCTTACCACACTTTCTTCACATTAAATAATAATGTATTCTGGCATGCCTTCTTATTTTATTATGGGCTGCAGTTTAAAGTGGTATTAAATCTCAGCTCGCTTCACAAATTCATCTGTTACACAATCTACCGAGTCAACTGCAGCTTGCCTTTAGCAACATATGCCAATTTTTCGACAGACCCGTTCTGATGTCCACCTCTGGTCTTATTGTGCTGACCAGTCCGTGTTCGTTGACTATCCAATGAGTTGCTTGTAGTGCCTCTCGATAATACTATATGGTGGGTCGAAATGCTTTTATCCTCGTCAATCCCGGATGCGGAAATTTATGGAATGTTACGAATGACACGGAGCAGGCTATTCATTTCTCGGTTCTGCAGCGTCAAAACATCATGCTAGTACCCACATTTTCATCCTTCATTATCAGTCGTATGCCGCTTAATATATATATATATATATATATATATATATATATATATATATATATATATATATATATATATATATATATATATATATATATATATATATATATATATATATATATATATATATATCCTAGTAAGTATGTGGTGAATTTATCAGACGTACAGCTAGACGCTTTGCAGTTAGAAGCTTTGTCATATGGGCTTGATTACAAAATTCCTCCTAGAAGACTGAACGGGTTGTTTATAGAAGCTCAGTTTGAGAACTTTTTTGATCAATTTAAGGAGCTTCAACCATCCAGTCCTGAGAGTGTTGTTTGGTTTAGAAACAAATTGACCGACATTGCCCACGAAGTTAAGACTGTGCCAGTGACTGAAAAATGCGCACTTACAGGCCGACACCTTCAGGCGCTGCGTGAACTGCGTACTAAGAACGTAGTTGTGATGAAACCAGATAAGGGCTCTGGAGTGGTGGTCATGAATAAGGCCGAGTACGCTCAGAAAATGAGTAACATACTAAACGACACAAGCAAATTCGAACGACTTAATAAGCTGGAGAACGTAGCCGACGTTGAAACTAGCATTGCTGCCCATCTTGAAATGCTTCTCCTTCATCGCGTGATTGATAATGACACCTATAATTGTTTGAAGCCAAGTGGCAGCACTACTCCGCAGTTATACGGGTCACCGAAGACACACAAGAGTGGAGTACCACTTAGGCCGATTCTATCAATGGTAAATGCGCCGCAGCATAAATTGGCTCACTGGCTAGTGAAGATACTTTCGCCTCTGAGACAACTGTCCAATCCATATAGTCTTAAAGATTCGTTTCAACTTATCGATGATTTAGATGACATCAACCTCTCCGATAAGGTCATGTGTTCCTTTGATGTGGAATCTCTATTCACCAACATCCCACTACAGCAAACTGTTGATTACATATGTGAGCTAGTTGAACAATCCAGTTATTCGTTACCAATTCCAGTCGAATTTCTAAAGGAATCCTTACTTATGTGTACAGCAAATGTTGGGTTCCACTTTCAGAACATCCCATATCATCAAATTGATGGTGTGGCAATGGGTAGCCCACTAGGCCCTGTACTTGCCGATTTCTTCATGCTGATGATAGAAAAAGGCATATCCGCAGAAATAGCCCAGCTACCATACTATAAGCGTTATGTGGATGACATATTGGCCTTTTGTTCATCGGAGCAGCAGATTGTCCAGTTTATGCAACAACTCAACAGTGCACATATCAACTTGCGGGTCACCTGCGAAGTGGAACAAAACAACTGTTTGCCATTCTTAGACATCCTCATCAGTCGCAGGGATGACGGGCTCATTAAAAGGTCTATCTACAGGAAAGCAACCTGGTCCGGCCAATACCTGCACTTCACCAGCTTCACACCAGTGCGGTACAAGCAGACCCTTGTGAAAACTTTAGTTACTCGTGCTAGACGAATTTGCTCGGCTGATTGTCTAGCCGACGAGCTAGAGTTAATTACAACAACACTCATTGCAAATGGTTATCCACGTAGATTTATAGAGAAGCACAGCCAACAGCGAGACCCGAAAGACTTGGTGCATACGGCAGCCAAGAAAAAGATCTATATCGAGTTACCTTTCTAAGGTGACTTTACTGCATTGAAAACCATGAAACGTTTAATCTCTGCTACGCAGAGAAGTTACTGTGCTGCTCAGGTTGTGGTCATCAATAGAACCTGTAACTTGCCGGTGCCTCCAACGAAAGAAGCTCAACCGATAGGCGCCAACTCATATTGCATATACAAATTCGTGTGCGACTGCGGAAACAGTTACATAGGCAGAACCAATCGGTCTTTGACTTCCCGAATAAAGGAATATGTGCCAAGGTGGGTTCAACATGAAATTGACCAGCATCCCTGTCCCACTGAAATTCCGTGCTTGCGCAAGCCGCCAGCTTCCTCAATAGGTAAACACCTACTGACTACGCGTCACCGGATAGAGCTTGGATCAGCGTTCACACTTGTATTACGTCACCCTAATCCCCGCTTCCTCCGTTTCGCCGAGGCCGTTGCGATAAGCCGAATGAAGCCGACCCTGTGTGTTCAAAAGCAATTATTTATCAGCTTAAGACTGCCGTGGACATAGGGGTGGCACTTCCGTCATTCGTTTTTCACCCCATGCTTATTCGGTCACACATATTTAAGTATATATCTGCATACCGGTTATTTTTAATGGTACTGAGGAGACAATACGAAATGCATGCATCTACCAGTTTTCGTCTTCTTACCGTGCTTTTCAAATTTCTGAAGGGAACTAACTGCTTTATATATATATATATATATATATATATATATATATATATATATATGACCAACATGTGGCGGACACATCGTCCAGTCGCCTTACTTCCCTGCCTTGGGAACAAGCTGGAACTATAGGTCAGCAACGTTGAGCTTGCTTTGGTGGTTTCATCATTGCTTACACTGTTCCAATATTCTAGCACCTGACTATGTTCGCCCACACATATACACACGATACTCGAATGCACATAGAGCGATAGGGGACAACCGGGTCACTGGTTCTGATCTAGACATCGGACACTCATGATCAAGAGGAGAAATTGCATTTATGTTGCATTCGCGTAAGCGCAATGTATGCGAAATATCGTCCAGTCGCCTTACTCCCCTGACTTTGTTAACAAGCTACAGCTGTAAACCAAGGAAGCTAGGTGGATTCATAATATCCAACAGGGGTCCAATGATTGCATTGCATATGTTCGCCTACACACACAGTAAATACGCGAATGGCCATAGAGCAGTGGTTCCCAACCTTTTAGACGCCGTTACCCACAAAGGGGGTTGCCCACCAGACTTTTACCCCAAAACTTTCAAAAGACTACTACGTAATAACTATTGCACATTTCGCTCTAAAGTTCAAAAACAAATGTCATATGTAGTTTCACGTGCTCATGCAATTGAAGGAAACACCCCTTCTCACTACATAATTATCCGACTTAAGTACGAGAAGTGATCGGTATCCGGAATCTCCCTCGACAAATAAACGAAAGAAAACAGTACTTTTAATTCAAAATTCTATGCAAACTAGAGGCGATATACATCAATGAGACGGTTGGTATTGTTTGGTGGTAATAATTTCTGGTACATGTGGTGCAGTTTCGGCCAATGCACATCGCAAGTCGTGCTCCAAGTTCATTCGATTCCTTGCTTTTGTTTTCATTACCATCATTGTCGAAAATGCACTTTCACATTTATAAGTTGTTACAAATGGGATCAATATTCTCAATGCGCTTTCCGACAGTAATGGATACTCTTCACCTATCTTTGCCCAAAATGTCACTAGTTGCGTTCTTTGGAAATCTACCTTCAATCTGCTGTCCTCGCGCATTCCTAGGAATCGTACCTTGATTTCGAATTCAGCATCTGGAAATATTCCTTCAGCTACTGTAAACGGTCTTAGCACCCAGGCACTTAATTGACGAGTTTCAAAATCAGGAAAATATTTGCTGATGGAATTCATCACTGATGACAAGGGGCAAGATATTTCATTCGTGAATGCGCATTTTTCATTTCTTTCAACGAGCACCGTCGTTAGTTCTGGAAATATCGGCACGTCGTCAACTTCAACCGAGCGCTGGTAAAGCTGCAGTTTGCGAAGGAAACCGGCTACTCTATCCTGAGCGACTAAAATGTTCATCATATTCCCTTGCAGACTGAGGTTAAGCGCATTGATTTCTCCAAAGAAATCAGCAAGATAAGCAAGTTTCGAAATAAACACTCTGTCCGTTATAATAACGTGTAACTCGTTTCCCTTACCCTTATGCATCTCTTTTCTTCGAAGAAAGATTGCAATTTCCTCTCGAAGCTGATGCACTCGGTGCAACACCCTGCCTCGTGACAACCAACGCACTTCTGTGTGCAATAGTAGCACGTCGAATTTGCCTCCAAATTCATTGCACAACTCTTTGAAGATTCTTGTGTGGGTCGCACTATCGCGGATGACATTTACTATCTTTACTACTTTGGTTAACACGTCAAGTAAAGCAGGTGAAAGAGTGCTCACTGCTAAAGTATAACGATGTATGATGCAGTGACTAAAGGTAGCGTGCGGAGCAACATTTTTGACCAATGTTTGGAATCCGGAACGGACGCCCAACATGGCTGGTGCTCCGTCTGTACAGACACCCACTAACTTCGACCACAGTAGCATGTTTTCCTCGAGGAACTTCTTTACTATTCGGAAGACATCTTCGCCACGCGTAGTCGTGCTCAAGGATTCTGAGAACAAGTACTCTTCTTTGAAGCTATCACTTTTTAGGTACCGAACATACACAAGTAGTTGGGAACAGGACGCTACGTCGGTCGACTCATCTAACTGGATTGCAAAGAAGGGACTTGATCTTATTTCGTTGAGCACCGTGTTCAAAATTTGTTTGCTCATGTCCTCGATACGACTTTTGATGGTGTTGTTCGAAAGTGATATCATATTAATCTTCTCCGCATGATGTTCTCCAAGAACGAGCTTAACCGCATCCATTATGCAAGGTTTGATGAGGTCCTCTCCTATGGTATGCGGCTTCTTGTTTTTGGCGATTCGAAGCGCAATGCGATACGAAGCTTCAAGGCCAGCCTCATTTGCCTGAGAAAAGGAGCTCGATGTATCCAGGCGCGAAAGTTTTAGCGCAGCTTCTTTCCTTCTAAAGAATGTAATATCTTTTCCTATCAAATGGGCATGGCTTCGTTCGAAGTGCTCTTTCAATTTACTATGTTTCATACTCTCCGCCGTGAGCACTTTGCTGCACAAAACGCATTGCGGTTTCTCAACATTTTTATCAGCGAAG